CAGAAAGTGTTTAATGAATCGAAGATTTCACAGATTTTAAATATCCAGAGTTCATGATAAAGAGTTCTGAAGCAGAAGATGATAATGATTTGAGATGAAAGAACCCATAAATGGTTAAAGAACTTCAGTCTCAGCGTAAATAAACTCACTGTGTTTTCAATGTGCAGAAATAAACCACAAAGCTGTTCTCAGATCAGTTTATTGTCTGTCATGCAAACACAGGTATCTGTACTAACACTGTGGCTTTAAAGTGCTCATCATCTCCGACAGTTTACTCATTAAAACCAACCACAAGTTTATTTAAACTCTAAAAAATACAAAGTATTAAACATTTGGAGTGTGAACAGACCTGAGTTAGGTCCATTCATCAACAGGAAACTACGAAATGTTCTGTAACGTCATCTGAGTTCAGAGACGCATTCAGATCCACAAACAGAACCAAGACGTCTAAAGTAGAGCTGATGAACACTGAAGCTGTAACCTGTGGCTGAGAATCACTGCTGCTCTGTTGAATCTGAGCCTGAGCAGAGCTTCCTGTGGATCAGTTAGTTGGTGTTGCTGCTGTGATTTGTGGGTCAAACAAAGAAAACTCTGATGAGCTCGTGTTTCAGTGATAAATTTTACTTTCTTGTAATATATTTTAACACCAGCAGTGACTGACTGGTACTTTGTCACGCTCAGTCCTCCTTGGATAGACTCGTACAGCGTCCTTCCCCTGTGAAGTCCATGTTTGTCACTCAGGCAGAACTCTGAATCTGTTACGATGGAACCACTGAAATTTGCATTTTGGTTCTTTTATAGATTACTATGAGTCTTGTGGAAACATGATAGAAAGTCAGTCTGAGAGTGTGGCTGTTCATTGGAATTCATGGAAATGTGACAAAGGTGAAGCTTCACGTACATCTGTTGCTGTTGTTTGGTTCCTTCTTCCTCCCTTGTTGGGTCGCCCTCTCCCCATGTTAGGAGCTGTGAGACATCTTTTCGTGAATGGAAGCGAAATAATTCACACCAGAATTGAACTGAACATCTATTCTCCTGCTTCTTCAGCAAAGTAAACCATTTATTTATATGAACCAAATGATCACGTTTGAAAAAGGTTTGAGATACAACGCTACAGCAGCTGCTTGATCCAGTATAATAACCTTTAAAAAGACTGACTTGCAGTTTCTTGTTGTTTTACAGCCGACAGGTGCAGCCTGACCACAGCAGCCAATCACATGCCGGCCTGTTGTCATGTGACCCACCTGCTGCTCAGCTCAGTCCCAGCTGTGATCTCTCTCTGTTTCATATGTTGCTGGTGGAGTGTGTGGTGGAGAAGGTGTCCAGGCGGAATCGAACCACCTTCCCGCTAGGCGGCGGTGGCGGCTGCGAACGCAGGTAGCAGGTGAACACCTGGCGGCAGGCCTTCCGGAAGTTCTCGGACAGGAAGGCGTAAAGGACGGGGTTGACGCAGGAGTTTCCGTAGGACAGACAGTGAGACACGATGCGGAAGGCGAAGGAGGCGTCGGTCAGCGGGAAGGAACCGAACTCCACCCACATGACGATGATGTGATGCGGCATCCAGCAGACGGTGAAGGCGGCGACCACCAGGAGAACCGTCTGCGCCGTCTGGAGGAGACAAAAGAACCGTTCTAAGGATGCTCCCGGATCAGAACATCAGAACACTGCTCAGGTACTGAAACACTTTACAAACAGTTGAACAACATACCAGGACAGCCCAGAAACTGTGCTGAACAGTGTCACAGCTCGAGTTCATTTGTTCTAAAAACGTTCTGATAATGTTCTGCAGAGTTTTTAGTGAGAAGTTCTCTTTCAGCTCCCAGAATGTTCTTAAAACTTGGATAACTAAAGACATTCTTAAAAAGATTGGCGATGACATTGTTAGAACACTTTGTCCCAACATTCCTAAAGCGTTTTTTAAATGTTGCATTGAGAACGTCCCTCCTCTGTTATCACGTAACAGAATGTTTTTTAGAAGACTGTTCTGTAGCAGGGCTGCAGGTGGATCAGTGGTTAGCACCGTGGCCTCACAGCTAGAAGGTCGCCGGTTGGCGTCCCGGTGAGGACACCCGGGATCTTCCTGCGTGGAGTCTCCATGTTCTCCCCGTGCAGCGTGGGTTCTCTCCGGGTTCTCCGGCTTCCTCCCACAGTCCAGAAACATGCTGAGGTTAATTGGTGATTGTAAATTGTCCGTAGGTGTGAATGTGAGTGTGCTTGGTTGTCTGTCTCTAAGTGTAGCCCTGTGATAGACTGGTTACCTGTCCAGGTGAACCTGCCTTCATCCTGAGTCAGCTGGGATAGACTCCGCCCCCCATGACCCTGGTGAGGATTAAGGTGTAGAGATGATGGATGGATGTTCTGTAATGTGTTCCTTTGACCCCTCAGAACGCTGTGGGCAGAATGTTCCACATTACAGGAACGTCCATCCATCCATTATCTATACACCGCTTATTACAGGAACGTTTCATATAAAAACGTTCTGCCATCTGAGGCATCGATAACACCTTGAAGACATTTTCCAAATATTGGTTTGAGAACATTCGGTTCCTGTGTGACATAATCTGTGTCCCTGAGAACATCCTGTGAATGTTGCAGATAAATATCTCTAAGTCTGTGAACATTAGACTAAAACCTAAAACGTTGTAAAGGGGATTTTTATTTGATGTTGGTGGAACGTTTGAAGTGCTCTTTCAAAGAAAAAGAAAATAAAACTGAATCTTGACTCATGAAGTCATTAGAACGTCCAACGGATTCAGACTGGACTGAAGAATTAGAGAGAATAAAAACACAGAGGAGGAAGTGAGGCCTGAAACACTGCAGAATGAACTCATCCTGAACATTCATGAGCGTCACTGAGGAATAAAAACACTTTTTGTTTTTCCTCCCATTCATCTCAAACCTCCTCCTGGAACCGCCAGCTCCGAGGACGAGTCCAGACCCAGTTCACATCTGAGTGATCTGATTACAGACGTTGACTCCCACGCTGAGTTCATCCTCAGAACGTCCAGCAGCAGAACAACAGTTAAAAACTCTCACAAACGTTCAGGATCAAATCTCAACTCCCCTAAATGTCCTCACTGTCTACGAACACTCTCACTGGTTCAGAAATGTCTCAGGTCTCCAAACTAAAAACCCAGCGTCTAAAAATGTCTCAGTGTTTCTTGAAGGTCCTCCGTCTGAATACGTCCCGCATGTCTTTAGGAAATACTCCTCGTTTGTCCTGAACCGGTCCAAAACCAAAGCAATGGCGTGAAACTGACATTGAACCAGCTTTAAACTGGAGCTTAAACAGACTTAAGATGCTCGCAGAACATGTTTCAGAACATTTCAGACCTATTTACTGACAGGAGGAGACTCCAGCTGTCCATGTCTCAGGATCATCAGGCGTCTTTTCCTTTGATGAACAATCGGTGCAACTGCTGAGAATGAGTTCATCTCAGTTTGAAACTGATCACAGTTTGGACTCACAGCAGAACCTGTTGTTCTTTGTGTGGATAAAAGTCGGAAGTTGAGTTTCATGAAGGAGACGAAGCCCAGAACTCTTTGTGAACCTCAGCAGACACAACTGTGTTGATGTGGAAACAAAACCTCCTTTAAAAAAACTGTTTAAATTTCAGCTGCGTTAAAGTTTCTGTGATGTGACGACTGAAGCAGCGAACAAAGCAGCAGCGAACGCGTCGGTTAGTGAGAGATGAAGCTAACATTGTGTCCCTGTTCTGGATGAATCCATCAGCTGCTTGGTCTCTAAGATGTTGATAAATGTGATCAGTGTTTCTCACTGATCAGAGGTTTTACTTTGACGTCTGTACTGTCAGAAACGAGGAGAAAAACCAGAAAATATTCACATTTTAAAATCTACAATCACAGAATTTAGAGTATTTTTATTGAAAAGATGCTCAAACTTGTGATGATCAAACTTGCTGGTGATTTAATGATACTGACGTTATTTTACTGACTGTCCTGGAAGTTGCAGTAAGACCCAAGCTGGTGTAAAGATTCATTCAGAAGAACAGCTGAGCTCACTGCTTCAGACCTCACACCTGATGGGTCGCTTCATAAACGCTGGTGATGATGTTTCTTCTGTAATAAAGTCTGTCAACACGTCCATAAAGCCTCCAGCAGGAATCAGCGTGGCAGGCCTTATTAAAGACAAACTCCTGAACGCTGTTGACTTAAACTGCCCCTCATTCACGCTCCGTCCTGCTGCTGCTTCCCTACAGCTCACACCAGCGGAGCACAACCATTATCTGCTGATGTAAATGTTCAGATTCAGTTTCCAGCAAAGCCGGGAGTCTTGGAGCTTCTCTGCCGCTCAGAGAATCGAATCTATTCTTAGTCCTCTGTCTAAATATTTACCCAGCAGCCTTTGCTCCTGCTGTAAACGGTCTGCTGCTAACTGATCTCTGATCTGCTGCCGCAGGATGTCTGCACACCGTCACCTGTCAGTCAGTGAACACACCGTCACCTGTCAGTCAGTGAACACACCGTCACCTGTCAGTCAGTGAACACACCGTCACCTGTCAGTCAGTGAACACACCGTCACTGATTGAAATCAGATTCTCCTTCCATTTTCTTCTTAAAATGACTTTTCATCAGAGATTCTTTTCTATTTTCTGGAGTTTGGTTTATTTTCTGTGAACACTTTTTTTGCAACATTCCCTGTGTTGGTTTCTGAACAGCGAACTGCTTTATGTACAGGCCCTGAAACTCTGCTGCTCTGCTTTATTTTCTGCCCTGTGGCTCCATAAACAGACTGTGATCCTCAGTCTTGTCGCTGATCACGAGGCTGTCAGTGAGGATGAGGAGGACCCACCTTTGCTTTGGAGCGCTCAGACTTCTTGGACATGTTCTTGATCTTTTTATGGAGATGAAACAAAACCTGGAACAAAGAACAGGAAGACAGACGACTGGTCAGTGACAATATAAGAAATACAGGTGTTGCATGTGGACAAAGCGAGGAGCTGAAGCACACAGACATCTGGACCGAACCAGCTGTTGATGCAGCAGCTTCACTTCAAACACTGTGTTGTATTCTGAACGCTCACACCGGTGCAGGTGTGTGTCTGCGCGCAGCTGCAGGCTTTTACGCACACTTTTACAATGTGTTTGCGCCCTTTGGCCCTGTGCGCGGTTGTTGGCGCGTGTTTTACTGCCCCGGGAGTCAAACATTAGCCCGGTACCGGCTCCGGACTCACCCTGGCGTAGCAGCAGCTGATGAGCAGCAGCGGCAGCAGGAAGCCCAGCAGCAGCACCGTCACCCGGTAGGCGCGTCGGGACGCTCCGGCCCAGTTCTCCCAGCAGAACGTGCTGTTGGGGGCGGTGGGGTGGTTGGTGAGGACGTGGTGCTGGGCCACCGGTACCGAACACAGCAGGGACAGAGTCCAGATGACGCACAGCCCGGCCAGCGCGTTCCTGCGGCTGCGGACGCACGCGGACTTGTTGGAGCGCACTACGGCCACGTACCGGTCCACGGACATGGCGACGAGCGTGAAGATGCTGACCAGCATGCTGACGGAGGAGAAGAAGTGTCCGAACCAGCAGAGGAAGCCTCCGAACAGCCACTCCGGCAGCGAGTACACGGTGGCGTGCAGCGGGACGCAGCACAGCAGGAAGGACAGGTCGGCCACGCTCAGGTTCAGCACGAACACGTTGGTGGGGCTGAGCGCGCGCCTGCCGCCGCCTCCCCGCGCGCCCAGGTGTCTCACCTTCCCGATCACCACCATCACCAGGCAGTTCCCCACCACCCCCACCACGAAGATCAGCCCGAACACCGCCGGCACCACCACCGCCTCCGGCCCGGGGCCCCCCACCGCCTCCGGCCCGGGACCTCCGGGCGCTGACCGGTTGGACCGCAGCGGGTCCGCCCAGCGGGAGGAGTCGTTCCCCTGTAGCAACATGCTGCAGCTCCGCGACTCTGGAGGGTCACAGCTGGAGAGGGACGGCCGGCAGCAGCAGGTCCATGATCCGGATCAGACTGTCAGTCCGGACTGTTCACACTGTTCACACCAAAACAGGGCAAGTTAACGGGAACAGGACCGACTGCTTCCTGTCGGGGCATTTCAAAGTAAAACCACCTTGTTTTAAGCTATTCCAAATAAAAAACAAGCAAAGTTCCCCTTTGAGCTTCTCACAATCAGCTGATGTTTAATCTACAGTAACTTTGGGGTATTTAAACATTTACTGAACACTCTCTTTATTTTGTATTTCATTTTTTCAGGTTCTGGGCGGCACGTTGGCTCAGTGGTCAGCATCGTGGCCTCACAGCTAGAAGGTCGCCGGTTGGCGTCCCGGTGAGGACACCCGGGATCTTCCTGCGTGGAGTCTCCATGTTCTCCCCGTGC